ATTTCCATTCTCTATTTATTTCAATAATTTATTAATACATCAAAGTGCAAATGAAGTAACTACTACATATGAGTCATCTTACTGGAATTGAGGATGCAAAGGTAGATAGATCTGGAAGGGGAAGAGAAAGTTCAGTTTATCATGTTTCACATAATTGTTTTACATATCAGGTACTCAATCTTTTTATATCATTACCAAGAAATTCAATAAAACTATAATCAGTGGTCCAAGGATTCTCTTTGGAGGTAGAAATTGCACAATATCTCTGTCTCTGTTTTTCTTTCTCTCGGTCTGTCTCTCTGCAATAGGAACTATCTCCATAATAGTACAGACTTTTGTGCCGAATGTTACTCATTTTTAAAGATGACTGTTTAACTTTTAGTCACTTTGTTTGCATGCGAAAGTCAGGGTTTATGCAGAATTGCTGCATGTGCGAAGGTGCCTACAAGATTCTGCTGGCTGGAGTCTAAGCCTGAGGTAATGGGCCCCTTTTGGGGACAGCGTGATTGAACCAAAACAGTTTGGAAATGAAACAGTATGAAACAATCATAAGCTGAGTGGCGAAAATCAGACCTATCTCAAGTCCCTGAATCTCTCATTACACTTCTGAAAATATCTATGTGCCTGTGTTTTCTTATTCACATGCCCCACATTCTACAGCTGTTCTCTTCTTGCTTTGTGCTGATGTGGTTGTAGAACAGAGATCATTTGTACCAGTTATCACTGGTTCGAGAATGTCATTTCTTGGCCTTGTGGTTCAGTGGACTGATTCTGATGAAATTCTAGAATTTTACTAGAAATTCAGAATCTCAGGCCTACCCTCGACCTACTGGATCAGAATAGGATTGAAACACATCCCCAGTTAATCCTCACAATCATTTTAAAGTTTAAGAAGGACAGATAATCTAGAAGAATGATAATTAGAAGGCAATGATAAGACACATCTTCATCTATGACGGGAGATGCAGGTCCCCTCTCTTCTTCTCTCCTAGACCTTCCTTCCAAAGTTAACTTACTGACCAGTGGATTAATTTTAGCACAATGAGTGTCAGGATGAGGGGGAACAGTGTGAGACTTGTAGGTGCAGCATCTCCAGTGGCACCGGCACTCAGGTGCCTGCTCTTAAAATTTTGCACCATAGGCATCTTGCTTTTCTCATCATCATCCTGGCCCTACTGAACACTCAGGTTGATCACTAAATGGCATCAGTGGTTGTAGAAAGGTAAGCTGCCTGAGTATAGGTACATCTCCTCCTTCCTTTCTATTCTTTAGGATGGACAAACCCCCCATCTGCCCCGAGATGTGCTTTTCATAATCCTCCTTCGCTCTTAGGCATCTGTCTCCTGTGGTTTGATGATGAAATTTGACATAACGATCCCACAGACTCACCAGTGTATTGGTTGGGCCCTGTAACTCTGTCAAGTTTACTAAGAGTTTAGAGCATAAAGCCAGCTCAGAATAACTCAGACCTTTGCTTGTCTTTTTCATGGACCCACATGCATGATTTTTATGTGATAACCGTGAAGGAGGTGGTTGGGAAATGAGGTAGAATTCAGTTACCCCTGCCTTCTTAGTTGCTTATTGAGAGGTGGTGAGATATATCTGGTTATTTAAAAGATGTGGATTAATTTTCCATTTAGGTGATGATCCCTGGAGCATGGCTTCTGAAGGGGCACGGCTGAGTGACTGCATCACCACCAGTCCCTAGACACCTCCTGAGACCAATATCCCCCTTCAAGTGTCACTTTCCTCCTCTGCAAAATGAAAAAGTTAACAGTTCCCTCTTTATGGGGTTATTGGGAAGAATAGGCCGATAAAAGTGTGTTTTACTTTGTGAAACATGCAGATGTTGCTTTTATGTAATTATGTGACTTTTTTTTTTTTTTTTGGATAAAATGGGCTGAGAAATCTTAATTGACATCTCAAAATCTCAGTCTGTAGGGTCTGGAACTGAGGCTTGAATCAGAGAGGCCAATTTTTTTCTTCCTTCCCCATCCCACTGCCTCCGGGAGACTTAACACAGAAATCTCATTGTTTATGTTCTCTGAAATTTGAATGCCATGCCCTCCACCCTCCATTTACTTTCCTCTTTATATCAAGACATCCTTTCAGATTCAGTCTCTTGGAACCTAGTGTCTTAACTAAAATCATTATTGATCAACTTCTTGCAGAGCTGGAGGTAAGGCAGTTGCTGAAGCAAAACAAGAGATGTGCACCTATTTGCATATCGGGTGGGTCAGCAAAAAGTGGCTCAATAGTCGTGTCTGCCCAGTAATGCAACCTCTCGGGATGCATCTGCTGCTGTGGCTGGCTGGACTCCCATTCGGGTTAGGCCACGAGACTCCACATGAACTGTCCCCCTGGCCACACCCATGAGGCCTTCCTGAGAAAACCAAAAGTCAACTTTGAAATACCCTCACATACCCAAGGGCCTTGCTTACCCTGGACTCTGCACTGCTCAGCTTCCTCTGCCGCATGGGGCATTTGACACAGGACTTTCTCTCTTGTTTATTTCTTTTTCTTATGATTTTTTAAAAATTATTTTGTGTATTTTTACATCATTTTTCATTTGTGTACAATGTATGCTTTATCATCTCGATTCTATTCCCTGTGGAATTCCCACCACCAGTTCACCCGGGCACCGTCACCGTAGTTCCTTGTGCTCTTCCTGCCCTGTTTTGATCCAACTCCCTTCTGCCCCACTTCAGAATGCTTCTGGTATATAGTTGCCTGGTGATTTTGATTTTCACTTTATTATAATTAGTTTTTTTTTAAGCTAATTCACATCAGAGACTGGAGAAAATTCACAGGTTCTAGTATCCTGGGATAAATCATTTACTGTTTCATTTGTGCTGTTTCTGAACTCTGGATCGGTGCCCTCTGCCTATCCTGTTCTTCTCCTGAGAATCCAATCATGGACCTTTGAAGCCAGGATATTGATTTGCTCTTCCCAGATGACCTTCTTAGGTGACTAGTAGCCAGGCAGATCTCCCTGCTTCTAACCCTTTCCAAACCCTTTCACTGTATTTTCTTTGAACTGCATCCAACAATCAATGAAGCACCTGAATCATTCATTCATCCCCTATTCCATTTACTCCTGAATTCAACAAAGTTTATAAATCACACTTTACACTGAGGACACAACGGTGAACAGCACTGGTCTTGTGAAGCCACAGCTTCTCAGAATAGATAGGAATTCATTCATCCACTTCCATTATTTGTTAAGCACCCACCATGTGACATGGATTCTTTTAGCAGGAGGGATACAGCTGAGAATGAGCAGGCACAGTCCTTGCACTCATGTAGCATGTACTGAAATGGGTAAGATGGGAAAGAGAGCGATAGACACAGAATAAGAACATGCTGGATGGAAGAAAGTTATAGCGAGAAAACTAAGGTAGGAGAATGGGGCAAAAAAAAAAAAAAAAGCCATGAGTATTTCTACTCCCTTTCAGGATGTTTTCTCTGACAAAATGACATTGGATCAAGACCCGGATGAGACTAGGAAGCAAGTCATGTGGATATTTGTGGGAAGCACATTCTGAGAAGGGTCAGCAAGGATGATGACTCAGAGGCAGGGGGTGTTGGAAGTGTAGGGGGATCAGCATGGAGGTGGTCATTGGGAAGTAAAAGGAATGTGGTAGAGATGAGGTCAGATATGAGATGAGGAGATAAGGAGGAGCAGGGAGTAGCAGACAGTTTTGTGTAGATCTCTTTATGCCCAATAAGGACTTCAGAATTTATTCTAGAAAAAATCTAGACATGAGAATATACCAGACTTGCTGTGCCTGACATCTGGTGACTGGGAGGTGTGCAGCTGGGGGAGCAGCCAGATCATCACAAGGCCCCTGGGTTGATTCTCCAAGTAAGAAGATGGTGTCTCAGACCAGGGAGCTGACTGGTGCTGGCGAAGACAGAGTTGTCAAAGTGTCCTAAATGATCAGACATGGACTGTGAGCAGAAGGAAGATGCCTCCTGAACAGGTTTTTATGAACTTTAGGATGAACAGGGATGTCATGAAGCCATTAGTCTCCCAAAGGAAGGGAAATCACACCACACGTGTGGCCTAGGTTGGCACACTCCTGCCCCTGTCACTTCTTGACCTCACTTTCCACCCTATCAGCCTCTGCTCGCCCACCAATCATATTTCCTCTCATCACAGAAACTGCACCTGATACTTCCTGCTAAAGATTTTAGACGTTATTGAAGTGTGATGGAAAGAAGGTATTACACAAATGTGTTGAGATGATCATACCTACCAGAGCTTTGGAAAGGTCACTTTGACTGCAGATTAGAGAATGGGTTAAGGGAGGCCTAGTGAAAATAAAGACCAGTCAGCAAAGGGCCCAGAAATCACGAGCGATAGATGGTGACATGGACCAGGTGACAGGACATTAAGGCCTGATGTTGCAGGGTCATGCAAAAGATACTAAGTAACCCGGTGCCATGTTGGAATGGCTATGGCTACTAGTCCAGGAAGGGTGATAAGAGGAAGATAGGAGGCAACCAGCAGGTAGAGGTTAAGCACTGAGGAGGTTAAATGTGGTCTTGGGTGGGGCCCTCAGGAAGTTATGAGCTATTTCCAGGAAGAGATGTCACATCTCTTTGATGCCCTAGTGGTTTTAATTTTTTTTTCTTTGTGAAGAAATCTTGTACCCATGTATTCCTCTCCCCTTTCCACACTCCTCACCCCTCCAGGACTGCTTGAAGTACTTCTTTTCTGCCCAATTGCTGGCATCATTGTCTATGCTCTGTTAACTACCTAACAGCTTACACAGGAGGCAGAATTTCACAACAGTTAGCGCTAACTTTTGAATTGGAATTGAAATTCTTACTTGCTATGGGCTTAACTTCTAGGAACCCTAGTTTCCAAGATGAAATGATGAAAATCATAACACCTACCTTATAGAATGTTCATAAGGATAAAACAAAATAATGCCTAGGAAACACATGACATAGAACTTGTCCAACAATACTAGCTCCATTATGAAGTTCTTCATTTGTGATCATCGGTGCTCTGATTGCTTCATGCATAGGAATCCATTTTTATCTTTCAACCTGTCCTCTGATCCCCATTTAACAGATGAAGAAATGGAGGTACAGAGAGTTTTGGTAATTCACGCAAGGGCCCAAAGCTATGTAGTGGCAGAGCCAGTATTTGATAGGGCAGCCCATACCAATCCCAGGCTACAACCCCTCTCAAGTAGTAAATACTCAACAAAGACAGCTATTCATATCCTCACTGGACACTTGTAGAAGATGACATTTTAAGATCTCAGTGTGACAGTTTCTCAACCTCTAATTACATTTCTTTCCTTCTTTGTTCTTGAGTCTCTTTCTACAATAACTGAATCTGTTATTGTGGAAACCTAAGGGAAATAATAGGTGCTCACATATGAAATGAATAAATTAATAACCAGGTTGTATGCAGAAGGCTCTTGGGAACAGTTTGTTGAGCAAACAAGTGTTAGAATTCAGAGTGGTTAACAGGAAAGGGAATCCCCACATGGTCTTTAATTAAAGAGGTTTGGGATGAGTGTGGTTCTAGAAGTGTTGACTATGACAGCAGAGCCAATGGCTTTGAGATCATGCCCTGCTTCATTGTTTATATTTATATCAGACCTGTGCCTCCACCAAGTATTTTACCCTTTTTGTAGATGACATTTTGTGACCGAATCATAATTTATACCAATCTTAATGTCCGTGCTTGCAATGTCCAAAGTTTTGAGCCTCTGGCATGGTGAGATAGTTTATGTAATTGTTCAGGACCCAGGAGTTCAAACAGAACCACCTGACATATGAATTCTGATTCTACTTCTTTCTAGATGTATAATGTTGAGCAAGTAGGTTAACCTTTAGATGACCCACTTCCTTATCTATGAGAGGGAGATCAAAATAGTAATTATGCCATTTGACTGATGTGAGATTCAAATGAAATAATACACAGAAAGTGTTTAGCAGAATGCCAATAACATTGAAGGTTGTTTTATAGTGTAGCAGGTGTATGTCACCTGGTACCAGGTGTATGTGATAATTATTAAGGCAGGTGACCACTTGAGGATAGTTCAAGAGAGGCATCAAGCTTTTAGGTCCCTAAGTGTCTACTCATTTGGACTAGAATTATGATGATAATTTCTTGAGTTTGCTAATTACTTTGAAGCCAATTAAACACACTTCTCTATTTGTTTCAAAGCTTTTTATGAAAAGATCTATTCCTTCCTATTGCATTTCTCTATCCCATTTCAGAAATTGACACAACAATCTGTCTCAGTCTACTTTAGCCATTTTTCTGTCATTCTCTTCTGTTTGCATCTATAGTCTATCTACATCTAGTTCTCCCACACATCCCATATTCCATCTCATGCTTCTCCATATTCCATTGTACCTCATCTCATTGTAGTTTATTTATTAAATCTCTTTCAAATTTCATCATTTTTCACAACACATCATCTCACATTCCACTCCATCCTAGTACATTCTCAAACCCACGTGTCCTAGATAATGTTCCCCTTAGAGTAAGAAAATCGTAACAATTTCCACCTGCTTTTGTTGCTCTATCCCCACCTATTTTTGCTGAGTACATTACCCTCTCAAGTTCTCCCTGATTAACTCTGGGAATTTCTCAGAAATCTATGATCAAGACTAGTAATTTGGTGTTTTGGGTAATGCGTAACATTTCCCCTCTCCTATTCCTGAACTGTGAATGTCCCTCTGGTTTAAGCCAATGACGGCTCGTTAGGGAAGTTCAGGCACCTAAAGCTCAGAATTTTTCACTCCAGCCACAAGACATTGACAACCTGATCTCCTAAAGATGGAAATGGTGAGTTTCTTCCTTCTATTTGCCACCTTGAATAGGTGCAATCAATTATATGGTTCTACTCAATTATTAGGTATTTAGGGGAAAAATATATTGGTGACCCTAGAGATCTGTTCAGGCAACTGGCACAATGACCACAAAGTTAATTTATTTGGTTAAATCAAGACTGAGCACAGGGTGGGCCTTGCAACCATCCAGCACCAAAAAGGTGGGTGTGAAGGGCGTCTTTGTATTACTCAATAGTGACACCTATTGACCCAGATGGAAACATTTGTATGGTAAGTGGAGTTGAGGCAGGCTTTGGAATTAAACAAAAACAAACAACAAATGGACAACAAAGCAAATAACATATAGGAAAACCATCTGCTCCCATTTGAGTTTTCTCTGTGGCCAGACTGAGTTGTCATTAGCCATGATAAAATGAAATATTAACAGACTGATGCATGAAAGTCTCCAAAGAATATTTCATCAACATTTAGAGACAAACAATATAATCTTGTCAACTTAAACCCATACAGACATTCGTGGGCTGTAGGAGATATACAATATAATGGACGCTGTACCAGGAATTTATTTGCTGCATCAAAAACTTGAAGACTTCATTTAGAACAATGATTCTAATCTGTTTCTTCTATTTATGAAAACATAGTCATATCGATAAGCTTCCTTCTTTTCTTCCTTCCTCTCTTCTTTCTTTCCTTTCTATCTTTCCTTGCACAAATACATGTGAAAATGAAGCCAGGTGTGAGTCCCTCAGTGGACACTGATGTTGAATACAATATGACCTAGACATGATGGAGTCATTCAATTATCAGAGAACCATTCTCACCCACTGTATCCTATAATCGATGACACAGTTAAGCTATGGCGTCACAGAACTGGAAGGATGGTGCCTGGCTGGGGGAAATTGGTAGAAAATCATAAGTCAATGAAATTTCTACTGAGGACATGTCTTGAAAAGTCAATAGGCTTTTTTTTTCATTATTATTAAAAATAAACTCAATGACATGAAGGCAAATGGTGTTTTGATGAATGGTCAGCATCTTTAATCCTGGAAGCATTTTTGGAGGAAGGTGAACTTAGAAAGGCAGGTTGTCAACTGTTCGAGAATGGAATCTTCTGTTTATCTTGTGGGTAGTTATTAGCTATGTAAAAGTTTTTAAAGTAGTCAAGAATATTTTATAGCAAATATATTTTGGGGAAGAACATTTTGGCCATAGTGTGGAAAATGGATTGGAGGAGAGAAGAGACTATGTGTAAGAAACCAGTTGTAAAGCAGATGTCCTTATGTAGAGTCTATTGGGCAAAATTTTTAGATCAAGACTGTGGTGTTTTTTTCTTTTTGAGGTAGTATGGGGAAGTGAAAAGAGCATAAGATTTCAATGAAGTACACATAGTTCAAACCCCACTTGATAGACGAGTGGGCATGTGAAATTAGTGGACTTACATGAGCCTCTCTTTACATTTACAATGGGGCATTCATAGCATCAGCGTCAGAAGACTGGCATGAGGGTAGAAGGGAAATGCTTTAAATACATTAATACTGGACTTGGAGAACAGAATGGTGTTCACTCCCAATTGGGTGGGTCTGGGTCTTTGCTCTTCCTCACTCTCCCCAGAGGCACAATGGATTGTCATTGTGTAAATGTTTTCAGGAGAACATGGGTTTGTGTAATTTTTGTAAGTGTACTACTAAGTGTAACACATGCACACACACACACACACACACACACACACACACCCCACACCATAACTTGGCCTGAAATTGGAAAATCACCCTGTGGAATATCACAGACAGAAATATCTCTTCTAACTGAAGACCCTTCCATGAAAAATTCCAGATACACTAGATGGTACATCCTAGAACACTGAGGGAAGGTCACACCAATATATCCATCGCTCTTGGCCTCCAAGTTTCAACCACGGAGACAGATATTTTGCTGTCTCCATTTTGAATTTAGATTTTGACATCATCCTGGCTTGAATATGGGTCGTGATGGAAAGTCAAGTTGCATGGCTGTTTTCTTCAACTTCAGCTTTCCTTCTAACCTGTGTTCCTCCTCACAGTTTTCACTCATTCCTTCCCAGAGAGCTTCCCACTCTATTTTTTTTTCCTCAATTCATGGAAATGAATCAGATTTGGGATGGCGTCATTCAAAAGAGAAAGCTAATTAAAAAGGTCCCCTTTCCTTCCTCTTAGAGTCCTTGCAAGCGTTTCCCCTTTTCAGAGACACAAGCAAGGAAGGAAGCTCTTCAGTGCAGCTGGGAATAACGAAGCCCTGGTTGAAGTTTCGGGAAACTGAGTGATCATTCCCACCTTGCTCCCTCAGGTCATATTTTAAACTGCTTTCTCCTTTTCAAGGTCAGGTTAAGCAGAATCACCTCAGTCTGTTTTAGCTAGAAGGAATAGATGATAATGTGACTTGAACATTAACTATTAAGTAGTTATGATTTTCTAGATGTTTATCTTGAGATGAGAGTGCTAATAAGTGCTAATGTTTACATAGCTCTTATTATGTGTCAGGAATTGTTTATTTAATAAGTCATGTCATTCTGGTGACTCTCAGTCACCAGAAGAGGTAATTCCTATTACAACCACCATTTTACAGATAGGAGGTGAAGGTGTGGAGGAAATAAAATAATTTGCTCCTGGTCACTTACCTAGTGAATGTTAGAGCTAGGATTTGGACCCAGACACTTTGGTGCTGGAGTGTATGCTCAATTTCACCGACTACACTATTTTTCAATGCATTCTTAAGTGGTCAGAACTTAGTTTGAAACCATGTGAGAGCAGGAAGCAAACTGACCCAAGAGCCTGTGAGCCAGAGATAGGTTTTATTCAAACTGCAGTGCTAAACCAAAAATGGGTTGCACTTAAATTAATTGCCCATATTTTCAAATCAGAGCAATTTTGCATAAAAAATATATAGCTTAATAACATTTTGGAAAAAGAAATGGAGGCTCTGAATCCCTGGGCCTAATATTGCATGGCAACAACTAGCTGGAATGAGTTGCTCCTATACTCTTTTTACTGAATCATGCATTCCTCAATTTGCTACAGGCCCCTCCCACTCCCTATTGCCTCCTCAACACTAGGCCATTTGCCCTTCTTCCCACCCACTTTTTCACTTATGTAACCTCTCAAAACTTAAATCCTAAAGGACTTGAGTTTGTAGCACTAGTCTAGAGACTTAAGACTTTGCTCTAAATTCAAGTTTAATCTGAACCATACTGACTTTGAACAAAATGCTTTATTTAAGCTTGCCAAGCTTATTTTTTTTCTCCTTTAAGAAATGAAGGGGAGGAGAAGAAAGATCCAAATATCCCCTTCTACCCAAAATATGGAGGTAAAAATAACACTTCATGGTTACCTCTCCTGTGGATTGAGGCAGGTAATTCTTGTCCTGTCTAAGTTGCTCTGATGGTCAGCTAGGGTAATGCCTATAAACACTTAGGAAGCCACCCAAAACTGTCAAAGTTTAAGGTAATGTTGGGGGTCATAGAGTACTTTATATTTTAAAAATGTTTTTATCTAAAAAGCCTCATGACTACATTGGAAAGCTGTCAATAAAGTAGGCAATGTAGACTTCTACTTTTCCTCACCTCCATCTACACATTTGGAAACTTGTCTAACGTTGCTCAGCTATGTAAGAGCAGAGATGGAATGTGGTATGGGCTATTCTTGTGCTCCCCCCCAAATTCATACGTGAAGTTCTACCCCCAAATGTGTTAGTATTTGGAAGTAGAACCTTTGGAAAGTAATTAGGTCAGGAGGGCAGAAGCTTGGTGAATGATTTTAGTGCCTTTATAATCTCTCTCTACTACGTGAAGACACAGCAAGAAGGCAACAATATGCAAAACAAAAAGAGCGAGGTCTTGCCAAGCACCAAATTGTTAAGCACCTGATTGTGGACTTCCCAGACCCCAGAACTGTGAGCAATATATTTCTGTTGTTAAAGCTGCCCAGTTGATGGCATTTTTATTATAGAAGCCCAAACTAAGACATGATGACACTCCAAATTTGATGCTCAGAAGAAGGTTCTTCTTCTAAAGTTGTGTTATGTCTCTTCCCCAAGCAGATCCATTTTCAGATTCCAAAACCTCACCTTGAGTCATAATTGACATACAACTTTCATATTCTTGCAAGTCAACCTTGATAGTTATTACAGTAAACTGGAAAAGACCCAACCAGGAGCCAAGTACTCTGGGCTCCACACCAAGTTTTTCCTCTCACTGTCTATGTGACCTTGAACAAATTACTAAACTCTTCAAGCCTCTTTTATTAATTTGTAAATTGTGCATAATATCCTTGTCCTCACAAATTTGCTAACACTCAACTGAGATAATAACAATGGCAATACGTTGCCAATGTAAATGAAGATGAGGGTGTGTCTTAGGTTCCTCCTTCAAGACTAACCCGCATGAGGGTGTGTTGTAGACTGGCCCCTCCATTCCACACACCTTTGTTGCTCTTGCATAAAGGTGCATGATTAGGCAGTAAATGCTCAATTATCAGGTAGCTCCAACCAGAAATAACAGAAGCAGCCATAAAATGATTCTTTGGGGGACTGTCAGAAAATGAGGGGAGACCTCTGTGACAGTTGTTTGCTTTCTATCTGTATTCGTATCAGTCTATGAGGTTCCCAGGCCCTCCTGACTATTGCTGGTCAGCAATCCCCTCTGACAGTAAGTCGACACTTTGTGTTTGGAGATGGAATATAGGACTTAGAGTCAGAGACGTGGCTTTAAATCTTGTCTCAGTTCTTGAGAGACTGTTTCTTAGGTAAAGTTGCTTTACCTCTCTGGACCTCCACTGGGTTACCATGATTAAAGAGTGTTTGGGGAAGGACTAAAATTTTGCATTATTCCCCTTCCTTGGAGTGAGCTTTAATGCAAAACATGCATTTCCACTGGGAACTTTTTCCAGTCTTGTATGTTACTTGGTTTTTATTTTCTCTTTCTCTCTCTTTTTCCCTCTCCCAGCAAGCCACACTAATTCCCCTTTATTTCACCCGGAGTCACCCTGCCTGTATTGAGGGCAGTTCTTCCCCGCAGGGTGAAAATACCCAGTGAGTAAACCCAGGGTCCTTAATGGCAGGAAAGCCAGATCCATTTAATATGATCTGGTTTCTGCCTCAGAGTCGATGCCTCAGGAAGAATTTGAATAAGCCAAGCTGTCTCATTTTCTTCACAGCAGCTCGGACTTGGATCCTAAAAAAATTCTAGTCAACTAAACAAATGATTCACTGAAGAACAGGAAAGAAACTGGCTGGTTGTACTCTTTCTAGTTAATGAATTGAATTGATACAGGAACTTCATCGTGTTCTCAGGGAAATCCTGTTGGCTGGGGCTCACTCCTCAGCACCACTAAATTTAGGTCACAGCTCAGTGAAGAACAATTACAGATCCTTAATAAAAGATAATTTACCCAGTGACAGCAAGCAGGACAGCTGGGCTGGCATTCTTATTTTCTCGTTAATGTGGTGGGGGCGGGGGACAAGGAGCGGAGATGAATGTTGACAGAAAGTCATTTTCTGACCTTGTACATCCGTTGGCTGACCTGTTTTGTGGCATATGCCAGTCCAGGCTTTTCCAGCAAGTGAAAGCTGAATGTAATGGAACCCCCACAAAACAATTTCCTAAATTGGACAAGGACAAAACAGAAGTTTGGAGGGAGGCCTCCTGAGAAGTCATGCATTTGAATCTGGCTGCTCCTGCCTTCTCCAGATTAATCTTTCTCTATTCTGCCTTTTGCCCTCTATCCCTCGCATTCTCTACTCTTCATCCATACAGAATTATCTCACAGCTCTTCATAAACTATTTTTCTTCTCTTCTTTGTGTTTTCGTCCTTCCTGTTCCTCAAGGATGGAATGCATTTCCCTCTACTTTGAATGACTTATTCTTGGTCATCTCAAAAAAATTAATTCCGTTTTTACCTCTTCCGGGAAGCTTCTAGAGACCCTCCCAGGGTTGCCTCCCTCTGAAACTTTGACTTCTTCCACAGACGGAGTTCCATCAAACAAGGCACTGTTCCATAATGTTGTTGATGCCCCAGTGGCAACACACTTCATTAACATCATTTTCATAGTGACTCAATGATGCCCTTGTCACAGAATCCAACAGAAGTTTCTCAGCATTTAGATACTTGTTCTTTCAATGGAATCTTACACTGTTTACAAGTTCCATCCTCTTAATACTCTCTACTATGCATTGAACTGTGCCACCAATAGGTATCTTGAAGCCTTAGCCCCTGGTACCTGTGAATAATTGATCCATCTGAGATCCTACATGATTTCACCAAATCATCACTGAATTGAAAAGCACATCTAGAAACCAGGGATTAGTCCTGGATCCTGCTTATTAACTTAAAAATCTTCCAAAAGCTCTATTACCTCTTAATATATGGTTCCCAACTAAATAGAATTTGTCATTTCCTGGCAAACATAAACACTTTGCATAGCTATTCTGAGGATCAAATAAGACCATGTGTTTGAAAGAGACTATGGTGTCTGCTCAGTAGTAGCAACTTTCAACTTCCTCTTATTCTCAGGATAAAACAAGACAGAGTGGGAGGAAAAAAAATAAAAGAGCAAATTTTAAACAAATGATCGAAAACAATTAACATTTTTTTTAACTCAGAAAGACAAATGTGTCAAGAAAAACTTTCAGCAGAAACCCTTTGTGAGGTGGAGGCGTTGATGGAATTTTGGAAAGCTGTTGTGAACAATGAAGGAACACTTTGGGTCCATTTTTTTCAGTCTGAGTAAAAGAAAAAAAATTGAATTGAAGAGCAGTAACTTATTCTTGGATGCATAAATAGTGCCGTTAAATTTTTTAGTAGGATATTCTTGATTCTGATTGGCACCACTTGACTCTAATGATGAATACAGAAGGCGTATTTGAGTTACAATTTTGTTTTTGAGCACTGTATATTTTATCATTTAATTTTCCCTAAAGCTTTCCTTTTTATGACTCTTGAGAAATGTATGTTTCCTATCAGAGACCAAAAGAAAAAGAAGGGGAAAAAAAGTACAATATTACCAACTGAAAATCTGTTAAGCATATCATTTATATATTTTCAGGTCTTTTTCTGACATAAATTTATACTTTTCCACAATGGAATTAGACTGTACACGTTTCATTGAAATGTACGCTTCCCCTTTCAGGCTCCACAAATGCTGTTACATGGTGAGAACATCTGCTATGTGAGGACGGACCCTCCTCCAGTTTACTTTCCTGTCACAAACCAGTAGAAAAATGGTATAAAAAAATTTAAAACAAGAATTTTCGAAAGCTGCACAACAAGCTGAAACAAAATAAGAGAAAATAATGCAATTAACCCAGTAATCATCCTGCCTTTTTACCTAAAATCTGTTCATAAACAAACTGTGGGGTGAAGGGCAGTCCCCCAAAAGGTATGGTGGTCTCCCAAATGAGGAGGAAGAGAGAATTTTGGGTGAGGTGGGCACGGGAGTAATGGTAGCTGCAATTTGTGGGAGGAAAGTCCTGGAGAATATGTAGCAGTCATGTGGAGGTGCGCACGAGTCCCCTTGTGACATGATGAATAGCAATTTCTGTACACATGCTGTGAAACTCCCTGGGACCGGACAAAAACAATGTGTGAAAGAAGAAAAATCGCCAGATCTCACATCAAGCTGGAGAACTGGTATCATACCCACCTGAGTAAGGAATCTTTTTGAAGAGGCAGGGATTTTGTTACAGAGGTCAGAAAGACGACACCTTAAGGGGGCACTAAGGTGTCCCATGAATCATCCTAATAAAATTTGAAACTTAAAAACAAGATTAGGAAAAGTCAAATGGAGCCACAACTCGGTGTATTGAGTCTGGCTAAATGAGTTAACTAATTTTCTGATGATCAGTTTCTTTATCAACAAACTTGAGGTAATATCTCTATGAGCTAGTGTGACTTGGGGTTAAAGCTCCACAATAGTAGGTGACATTCATTAGGGGCTTAAATAAATTCTGGCGTTACTATCTGTGACTGTATGGCATTCTGCTCCCAGGCATGAGCTGTGTCCCATAGCCAAGCTAACATCAGGTATTTATTCTGTAGCCACCAAAACCTTATTCAGCCAATAAGAAATAGCCATACCTACAAAAGACTCCATTGCTTTGCCAATCAACCAATTCAGGATTTTCTGACAGTCTTCAATGACTGGTAGAGTGACCTCCAGCACCTTAAGTGTAACCCCCACCTCACCAACACTTATACTGACTTTGCCCAACTGAACTGAGAAGTCTTGAGTTCAGGGACTGTCTTGTTCACGTGTGTGTTTCCTCCTAGAGCAGTGTGGGCTCACAATAAATGTTTGTTTTGTTAAATTAAATTTAGAAAGTGTTCACTCATTTACAGAAGAAATTAGCTGGTAATGAAATACTATGTCGTGTTCCATTCTGCAGAGGAACAAGAACGCTGCCCTAGGAATGCAGTGAACTTTCCGGCTTAATATTTGGTAAGCAAATTCTTCTCTTATCAAAGGAAATTAATGCTAACCTTTCCTCTACCACATTGAGCATTTAAGCCCTCAAGACACTCTGCTAGGGCAAATGGGTGACGTGCAGGCTGGAATGTTGTAATGCACTCAGGATGAAAAGCCGCTGCACACAGAAATTAAAATAACATTAGAAGCCAAGTAGAGAGAAAGGTTATTACAATACGTTCTAGAAAAAAGCTGGAAGATGCTCTATGGTCCCTTCCTCCAGGCGAAGGAAACGCTGAATTCAGATAAACTTCCCGATGCCCTACCTAGCCTTCTCCCACACCCTCCTCTGTCCCAGGGGAGTCATCATTGCCAGTGCTCAGGGTGGGTGGGAGCTTATTCTGATCACTTCATGAACACAGCTTGAGCTTTGGACTCCGAGCATCCCACATCAGATCTTGGCTCAATCTCAGATGAGAATCGTAGATGTCTTACCCACTTTCAGGGGGATTCCTTATCAGTAAGAGGCGTTTTTGAGATTTTTGAGAGTTGTTGTGAAGATTAAGCCATCCAGTGCTGGGTACCCAGTGAAGATGGTGTCCTTGCTTCACCGACTTGGAAGAAGAGTAATAAAATCTGATTTTTGCAAGGGCAGGTGGTGTGAAGGGCAGGTGGCATTACCATTTCTTCTCTTTATGCTTGCTCTGAATCACTACCCAAAGGGCTTTTTGTTTTTCTTCTGTGAATAGAGAAGACCCCTCTTTTTCCCCAAAGGGATGTATTTGAAGCTTTCTTTCCACCTCCTGTGGCTGCTCTATCACAGGCTTGCCTTGCAGATCCACCTGCAGATCTTTTAGAGGCCCAGTCAGCCAGTGATTCCAAATGTTCTTGCTCTGGGTTTTCCTTCAGGTCCTTGAGTCACTTTACAAAGGTGCATCACAAATCAAAGAACAATTCTGAAGCTCCAATGAAACTCAGTAAGCCAATGTGATGGTCAAACCAGACTATTTGTATAAGTAGCTTAGCTTTTCACCACCAGATTATTCCTGAAGGTTAGGGACTATGCTCTTTCTTGATGTCATCCTACATACCATTCCTTTGCCTGAATTGTGCTTTCTCCTCTCCCCCTTCTCTGGCCCCACTTGACAAAAATCTTACCTTTTTAAAAAATTTTCAACTTTCCATGTTATCGCCTCCATGAAAATTTTTCCTTCCTTTCTTACCACTTAATGGAATCCATTACTATACCTGTAGTTCTCCCTATAAGGTTTACTGTAAAATGAATGTACATTTTTCTACACCAAGAATGTATAAATTGGGTCCCACACTTCACCCTCATGTGTCTAATAGCTGGAAAACCGCAGATCAAACCTCTCCAAATTGCTTTTACTCTCCTTGCTAACTTTTAGAGTCTCTAGGTGACTCTAAGTGCCTTTGGATGGGAAATAGTCCATCTGGCTTGGTCTTACCTCAACGTACTCTCTGGCTTAGGGATGCTGGTGGATAAACAGAAGTTGGCTTTGGAAGGCTGTGTCCAAAGTCCAGTTGCAGGCAAATCCACAGTTCCAACAGCAGCCAGAGACAATGTGGCAGCATGACGTCCTATGAAGGGCTCTGGCTAAATTGATCAAGGCCTTGTCATCAAAGACATTTTCCTTTTTTTTTTTTTTTTTTTTTTTTTTGCTTTAGGGCATAAGGTACAAGACATTGGGGCAGTGGCAAAGCAATACCCAGAGAGACTGTGGTGCTGCTTGCTTACTTCAAGTAAGAGCAGAAATGCACAGTATTCAAGCCTCACCTGCAGAAAATATAAAGGACATGGGGCATTGTAACAAAGGATTGGAGACATGCTTGGGCGAAGCATGCGTTACAGGAGAGTATGGGCGGGGGACAAAGGACGTGTGTTTCCCTGTCTCCTTGAGAATTCACGAAGCTACTTCCTAACTTTCATTGCAAAAGGCTGGAGTCATATGACTGTATTTTGGGCAATGCAATGTGCGTGGAAGTGATGTAAGCCATTCTGGCCATGGCCTTTAAAAACCTGACCCTCCAAATCTCTTTTCCCTTCCAAGACAATGTAGAAGGACATGATTTCCAGGGACAGTTGCAGCATAGAGGAAAGTAATGCAGCCCTTGCTGGACTGTGAAATGGGTAAGTAACTTCTGTTAAGTCTCTGCAATGTTAGTGTTTGTCATTACTCCAGTGCAGCTTAGCTGACCTAAGAGGGGATCTGAAGCTTCTTTTGTCTTTAAGCTGATCCATAGGTAGGTCTAGGAATTTTTTTAAAAAGTAGTTCCAGTAAGTTCCATGAGCTACCTGGGCATGTATCTCGCAGGTTAAAATCAATGATAACACAGCTTTAACAAGTGGGTCTTTCAGTTTGCACACAAGGCACAAGCAAAGACTAGTCTCAGGACACCTGAAGGAGAATTGCTTCTAGAAACTTCCACTCCCTTGTCTCCCTAATGATGCTTCTTCTCTTAGGTCTTGACTCTTTTGTCTTCCAATATAATCAAGCTTCCTTCTCTGATATTGCCTGTGAGGGGAAATCATCAATGAGGAGACCAATGAGTTTTGAATGAGATTCTTCTAAGGAGCCCTTGCTTGGTGCTTCTGAATGATTATCATGCCATCAATAATGTGAAGTAGATGCCAACTTCTCTTGTTAAAAACATAATTTTTAAGGTGTGGATAATGTCCATGATATTATATATTACAGTAATAAGATTGCTTTAGTTATCAGTATACCTGCTTAAAAAAATGTCATACCCTTAAAAACATGTACACAGTTTTGCATCTTTTTCATCTCCGTGTGCCTAGCCGTCAGCAGCCATGCTTGGCACAAAGTGACATGGTCTAGAAATGATGAGAAATGTAGTCTCCCTCTGAAGCCTACTCAGCAGCTCTTTTCTGCTTTTTCACTCTGCTGGGGGTAGTAGTTTGTCTACAATTGGAGACTATATATTCCTACCAATATTTCTCTTCAGAGAAAATTACCTAGGATGACCTCTTTGGGGTGGGCACAGGCATATGCCCCGGAGACATGTCCCTGTCTATGAATTGTAACAGAACAGTTGCCTCATGGCTGGAACACTCGTCCATTCTTGCTGGCAACGTCCAGTGACTTTGCTGGGCCAGCACACTGAAGTCATAATTGGAGCGCACTTTGCTCGTGGAGGTTGGTCTTCAATGCCAAGAACAAGGGTGAGTGGACATTGCACCCAAAATAAACCTCGTCAGCAGCTCTCCTCATAATTTTCTCTGAACTGAGGAAAATAGCTCAGGCAACATAATTCTGGGGACTCAGATAGTGAGCGAACATTCAATCATACAAGTTCAAGGATGAAAAGAGCTTTTCAGATCATTCCCCAAACTTCCAACTTTATATATGGGAAAACTAAAGACAGGGAGCAAAGTAATTCACCCAAGATCAAACCAATTGAGAGCAGAAAAGCCAGGACTAGAATTCATTTACCGAAGCCCCTGGATCTGCTCTTTTCATGTCACTCTTCAGCTAAGCTGCTCACACATCTTTTTTTGCTGGTAATGTGTGCAAACCTGAGGTGGGTTGTAAAGGCAATAACCATCATACTGACTACCAGACACTGTGTTCAATACTTCAGAGTTATCTAATCTTATCTCAAAGACCCTATTCTCTATTTTTACAGAGGAGGCAACATAGGTTTGGAGCAAGATGGTAAATTGCCCAAGATCACCCAGCCAGTGAACTTGCAAATACTCTGAAAAGCTTATCTACTTCTTTCTAAGGTCCAGAATCTTAACCACATTCCACGGCCATCTGGTGCCACTGAGAAACAGAAGCATCTTGCAAACTCAAAATGCAAGCATTTCCTAAATGCCAGAGCAAGCCCTAATGCATCATGACTAATGGGCCAGTTACCTCCTCCTTCCCCCACAGAAACCTACTGTGAGTGGAAAACAGCATTTCCAGTATTTTGCTCAGTGGAGAAGCACCCTTCTGTCACCAACAGGCAACATGTGAGCAGAGAGGCTGAGAAAAACCTAATTACCACATGACTTAGGAGATCTTGTTTATAAAAAGGTGAAAGTTAATAAATTTATAAATTTTATTTGAGACCTAGACAATCTCTCCTGGTCTATGTAAAGAGGACTACAGCATGCTGGATCCAGAGAAGTAAAGTGTTGTTTCATTTCACACATATTTATGGGAAACCTCCTAAGTGCTATGCACTAAGTTAAGCAGAGAAAACAGAAAAAATAACCAAGGCACAGTTCCTAGCTTCAGGGAATTTACCAGCTGAGATAGAAATGACGAGTCTTCCATGGGAGATAAGCACTTCCCTTTCTAGAATAAAGAACTGTTGCCAAAAAGGGGCTGTGCAGGCAAAGACTAGTTTTCTCAGCCTCCTTTACAATCATGTGAAGAGTCTGAGAGTGGACTCTTGCCCACAGGATGAACAGAAGGGAAGAACATCACTTCCAGGGACACCTGGGCCTTCTCCACCATCCCTGCCCTCAATTGCTGGAAGCATAGTCACCTAGAGGGCTTGGGACCATGATTACCTGGTCACAAGTGCAAACTGCTAACAATGACAGCTGCCTCCAACTGCTCACATGAGCAGAAAGTACACACTCAACTCTATGAAAATATAGCCACGGAAATGACTATGTTGTTAAGGCAGTGAGGGCTTCCTTGACAAATAAACCCTCCTGTGTTCAGATGAATGAACCAGATATTGTAGTGTCACTTAATGTTGGCCCATGATGGCACTGAGGTATGTGTGCTGTGGGAACATAGATCTGGTGATGGGAAAGACAAACAGTCGGTAGGAACCAGCTCTTGGGAAAGGCTTGGGAGGGAGGAGTTAGGGACCAGAGGAAATGTCAGGTGCAATGGTCCAGAGGAAAGAAAGCAAAGCTGAGTGCTCACAGTTGGGGTTCAAGCAGGAAATGGGGAGCAAACAGGAATGGGGAACCCGATAGACTGGAGTGGGAAACAGGACCAGATCAGAGAAGGCTGGCAGTTTAGACTTTGATGTGGAGATGGCACAGACTAAGCACAATACTGTTGGCAGATTGCTCTGGAGAGGAAGACTAGGCCAGCAGGGGATTATTCATATTAATTCCGATTGCTTCCCTTTCTCTTGTACAATGCCAGGTCCAGAACCAAGAGTGAATATATATTCATTGCCTAATGGATGAACAAATGAGTGAACCGTTTAGGATCCTGTTGTACTAGTACAGATGAAAGATGCTGGGTAATTCATGCAAACAGGGTTGAAAAGTTTAGTAAGCAAGTGATCAATTGCATATAAGAGGGATGACTTCCACGGGATATTTCTTGGCTGTGATTATTGTATGCTAATTGTCACATGTCAGGTACCTTTCCAAATGTTTTACACCTGCTAATTCATTTAATCCCAATAAAAATTCTATGAACTTAATAATATCAGATGAGAAAAAATGAGGCACAGAGGGGTTCATAATTTATGCCAGGTCACACAGCTAGTTACTATTTAATCCAAGAGTTCAACTCAAGCAATCAGACTCTGGAGTCTGTGTTCTCCTGAGCGTGAGATTTGTGTTTGTTGTAATAAGAAATAGAAGACTCTGCCCTGGGGAAGAGAGACAAATTCAAATTTAGATGTGTGGGGTTTAAATTGTCTGTGGGACATGCAAGTAGAAATATCAGGTAGGCTGGTATCCGTTGGTAATATAATTGATGCTGACTGCAAACTCTGAGGAATGATCACAGAAAGTGCGTTCACTGCAATGATTCCGTAGTTTGAAACTGCTAAGGGAGAAGGCACAACAGGAGTGGACACGACAGGTCGTGGATAAAGGAGAAGCAGAAAGATTTAAACAGAATAAAGACACGAGGGCTTAGTTACGTCCGATAAAGTTGTTGTCAATTTCCCAATGAGAGATTCTAGAAATTACCAGCTGAGCTGTGCTGTATCCTGTATGTGTGTTGCTTTCTTTGTAATTTGAAGGCAATTAGTACTACAGTATTTAATACTGCAGTAACAACTTGTGAATTTTCACTCCACACTGTGACCTTTAAAATCCATTTTTGTAATAAAATCTAGCTTAAAAGAATCTACCACACACTGTAAGAGAAGGAGACATGCTTGAACCAGAGCAATAACAATTGTCACAATTTCAGTTGCCAGCAGAATAGCTGGAAGAACATGGAATTCTTTTTGAGTGTTTCAAAAGTGATTTTAACATTCTTTGTATTTTTAGTCTAAATTGAGGACTACAATATCAATTGAAAGATCTATTGTTGTGCAATTTGCAGCAACATGGATGGCGCTGGAAGGGATCATGCTCAGCGAAATAAGCCAAAAAGAAAAAGAAAAATATCGGATGGTCTCACTCATAGCAGGAATCTAGAAAACTTAAATAAGGGACCAGGAAAATGAATAACTATAAGAAAGTGAAAATCAAAATCAACAAAAAACTATGAACCAGAGACACTTTTAGGGGGGCGGGGGCGGGAGGGGAGGGATTGGGGTCAGAATGGGGGGGCTGCAATTGTATGGGGAATATAACAATAAAATTTATTAAAAAAAAAAAAAGAAAGATCTATTGTTGGAGGAAATTAGTATGCTAGTAAATAAATTAATAAAAAGTAAAATGCTGGGGGGCGGAGCAACATGGCGGCGAGGAGACGCTGCGAGTAAGATCTCCCATTAAAAAAAGTGAATAGGGAGGAAAAGCGGCAGGTCCCAGTGAGAACTGGGACACGGAAGATAAACGGGTGACGCCAGCGAACTGCCCGAAGAAGAAAGTGGCCATAAAAGAGGACCAGAAGGGAGGGAAGCACAGAACCCTGCTCCCCTCCCCCGCCCACAGAGGCGGCACTCTCCTACCCCGCAGAGAGGAGGAAACAACAAACCAAAACGGCCCACAAGAACAAACGAGGCAGCAAGCGGGACTGGGAGCGGAAAGGAACTATTGCAGCCACCACACCCCGTGAACGGGAGCTGAGGCGAACCCTGCAGGATCCGCCGTGGCGGTGAGCGAACGGCTCCTCCGGGCGCCATTAGAGAAGAACAAAGACCCCGGGAGACACGCACACAGCCCGGGCTGCCGGTAAGCTGGCGCGGAAACGCGGAGTGCTCGGCGCGCTTGAAAAGCAAGTGCAGACCTGGATCGCGGCTGCCCAGGTCCCCGCGCCTGCGACCTAGGCTTGCGGGGAGACTACCTAGGCTTGCGGGGAGACGCGCGGAGGTCCTCACTGAGGTGAAGGTCCCTCCCTGAGTAAGCAGGATCCAGGCGCCCAGGCATGGGAGCGGTGCAAAAGGCGCCATTCCCGCGCCACTGAACTGGGCTACAGCCCGCGTCCTGGAACTGAGGGCTTTGAACTGAGACCCGGGGCACGAAAATTCGGGGCGTGGTTTCTCCACGACGGTGGGGCACAAGGCAGACACAGCACCCCAAAGCTGTTGAGGTGTACCCTACCATTCCCGCTCTGTTCTCTGTCCCACGGGGTGGGGGGAGGCGAAAAAACAGCCCCCCAAGGACAATAGGAGAGATCTCTGGCGCCACCTAGCGACCAGGAAAAAAAAAAGTCACTAACACCCTATAAAACAGGACATTTCTTAAGACTGCTTGAAAAGGGCAGAAGGTTTCTGGAGGACCCAGTGGCCAGCCGGGAAGTTATTCCACGCCAGGCCCCTTCCGACCAGCAGTCTGAGCCCACAGAGGGAGCAGGCACCCACGTCCGGGGCAGACCGGGTGCGCAGAAGAGTGTGCCTGAAACCGGAGGCGCAGGGACTGCATCCCGCTTCGCCATTTGAGAACAGGGACATTTCTTCAGTAAAAACTGCCTAAAACCAGCAGAAAGCTCCCCCAGAAGACAGAGATGGCTCCTGGAAGAGCCAGAGGGGAGCGGAGAAGTTCACCCAAGATGTCAGTCAGTCCGAGCAACACAGTGTCCCAACGCATACGACAAATTAGAAAACAGACAGTAGGGAGTAGAAGAACCACACGCAACCTAAAAACTCCTCAGGAAAGAAGCACACCACAAAAAGAAAACCACTCCCAGATTGCAACGACAGCAACTTGGAAGAACTTCTGAGCCTTCCAGAAAGAGAATTTAAAATTGCCATGATTAAAAAAGTGATAGATCAGAAGAAGGAAATTGAGTCCCTAAAGAGGGAAGTAAGAGAAATGCAGGAGATCAAAGAATTAATGGAGGAACTAAAGAACTCTGGGAAAAGCAATGAAAGCAGAATAGATGAAATGGAAGAACGAATAAGTAATCTTGAAGACACAGAAATAAAAAGAACCAAAACAGAAAAGGAAAGAGAAGTACGAAGGAAAAAGAATGAAGAAAGACTTCGGGAACTATCTGACTCCATGAGGAAAGGAAATATAAGAGTTATAGGAATTCCAGAAGGAGAGGAGAGAGATGTAGGAACAGAGAAAATATTCATGGATATAATTGAAGAGAACTTCCCAAATGAGAAGAAGGAGCTGAAAATTGATATACAAGAAGCAAGAAGAACACCAAACTTCCACGACGAAAGGAAAAACACAGCAAGACACATAATAGTAAAGCTCCCAAGAATCCAGGACAAGGAAAAAATAATGAAGCTGACAAGAGGGAAGAAACAGATAACATTCAAAGGAAAACCAATCAGGCTGACATCAGACTTCTCTGAAGAAACACTACGGGCAAGGAGAGAGTGGAGGGACATAGTCAACAGACTCCAAGAAAACAGATGCCAACCAAGAATACTCTATCCCGCAAAGCTCTCTTTCCTCCATGAAGAAAGAATATGGACCTTCCCAGACAAAGAGAAACTCCGGAATTTCATTGCGACTAAACCCCCACTCCAAAAAATACTACAAGGAATCCTAAAGCCAGAACCTCAGAGGGACGAATAACAACGAAAGAAGACCAAAAAAAAAAAAAAGTTATTAAAAGAATAAATAAATAAAATCAAAGGAAAGACAAACATAATGGCAAATACAGATGCTAACATATCAATATTAACTCTAAATGTAAATGGACTAAACTCTTCAATAAAAAGACACAGAGTTGCAGCCTGGATTAAGAAACAAAACCCAACCTTTTGCTGTCTCCAGGAAACACATTTAGCTACAAAAGATAAAAATAGGCTCAAAGTCAAAGGATGGAAAACAATCCTACAAGCAAATGGGCCAAAAAAGAAAGCAGGAACAGCTATACTTATATCAGATAAAACAGACTTCAAACTCAAAAAAATAAAAAGAGACCCCAATGGTCACTACATTATGATTAAGGGGACAATACTTCAAGAAGAAATAACACTCATTAACATATACTCACCAAACGAAAGAGCACCAAAATATATCAGACAACTGTTGTCCTCTCTGAAAACAGACATCAGAGAAAACACATATGTAGTGGGAGACTTCAACACACCACTATCAACAATGGATAGATCAACAAGACAAAAAATAAGTAAAGAAACTAAAGCTCTAAATAAGGACCTAGAGCATTTGGGCTTAACAGACATCTATAGAACACTAAACCCAAAAAAAAACGGAGTACACATTTTTCTCAAGCGCACACGGATCATTCTCCAGGATCGATCACATACTGGGGCACAAGACAAACATCAACAGATACACCAAGATTGAAATCATACCAACCATCTTTTCTGACCACGAAGGCATCAAACTAGAAATAAATCATAAAAAGAAGGCAAGG